AAAAAAAAAAAAAAAAAAGAGGAAATAAGACGTAGGCGGGATCAAGAGAGGGGGAAAAATGTACGGACTTACCAGACACAAGTCCAGACTGAGCGAGAGTACGCTGTAAAGTGCGGGCAGCCCCGTCCCCGTCGTGTAAGTCGAGGGCGTGAGGCTATGGCGGCGGGGAGGATGTATGTAAATCAGCGGAGATGGAGTAAGCTGGTTGATTGGCCCGATGTCTGGAATGAGCAGCAGGTACTTCTCTCGTACTCTCCAGTCCCGCCGGAAGTACTTTGCACTCACTCACGACCTGCCCCCTGCTCGATGCGATGCCAGTACGTCCTGTTTTCAACTGCCCTAGCCAGGACTCAACAAGGATGGCTGGGTGGTGTCGTATGGTCCGGCAGGGAGGAGTGAGCTGCTGCTTGGAGTTGTTATGTTACCGCACAGCGCGATATCTGGTTGCTCTCTCCTTGTTGTTTGATTGATTTGCTGGGGAATTAGATCGGCTTGCTTGTCTGGTTTACACAAGTCCCGAAATAAGGGAATCTGATCAGGGTGAACATGCACCAACCACTGCTCGATTAGCTGCTGTCTAAGGTACAGTAAGTGCTTTGCGGTAGTGTACCCGAGTGAGTGAGACTTTTTTGGGTCTGTGGTTCGAGCGGTCGATGATCCGTGCAGTGCAGTGCAGCTTACACAATGATCGGCCCCAGGATAGCGGGCGGTCATCTGCGTCGCTGCAAGCCCGGGGCTTGGGCTGGGCTGGGAGGGAGGGATGGGAGGGATGGGATGGAACTTCAAAGGGAGCGCGCGCCTGTGTGTACGTCCAAGGATGTATGTATGTATGTGCATGTACTTACGATAACTCAACCAGAGTACACCCGTCGCGGTACCCGTCTGTTGGCTGTTTCGTTCGTTTTCTCGTTCGTACTTGGGTGTCTGTGTGTAAACAAGTGTCCTTGTCACTTGTCAGTCTCGCCCTCGTCTTCTCTTATTTTTTTTTCTTTATTTTTTTCATTTCGTTTCTTTTTCTGATTATCCACTTACACTGGATCCTCTCGTAAATACCAGCACCGTCTCTATTTCGAATCGGGCCTTGGAGGAAAATACCCATACAGTACAGTCAGTACCTTTGTGCCTGTCAATGTGTCAATGCGTGTGCGCAGCCATCAGTGGAAGATCACCCCCCTGGCGCTGCCACTCACTAAGGTAGATTTAGAG